ACAGCATTGATTGATGGATTTTCTCAATCTGGGAAACTTGAAGTGGCAGTTGGGTTGTACCACAAAATGTTGAAGGATGGGTTGATTCCAAATATAGTTACGTACAATGTTATGATAAAAGAATTATCTGCAGAAGGAAGGTATGATGTTGCTTTGGGTATTTTTGATTGGATGGTGAGGCAGGGTACACTGTTGAATAGTCAAACCTATAATGAAATCTTAAAGGTGTTGTGCTCAATGGGTAAAATTGAGAAGGCTATGGTTCTCTTTGAAAAAATGCTTAAGATTGGCCCCTCTCCAACTGTGGTAACCTATAATACTCTTATTGGTGGTTACCTAGAAAAGGGGAATCTGAACAATGCTATGAGATTATTACATATGATGAAGGAGACTGGACATGGACCTGATGAGTGGACCTATTCTGAACTTATTTCAGGGTTCTGCAAGTGGGGAAGGTTAGATTCAGCATCTAGCCTTTTCAGTGAAATGGTGGAACGAGGATTAAGTCCAAATCAGGTTAGTTTTACTGCCATGATTGATGGTTACTGTAAAGATGGAAAGATAGATGTTGCTTTGTCATTACTAGAAAGAATGAAGCAAAATGATTGTTGTCCAAAAACTGAAACGTATAATGCCATCTTACATGGTTTGTCAAAAAACAATCGGTTTTCTGAAGTCAAAGGATTAATCAATGAGATGACAGAGAAAGGATTGCTGCCAAATGTCATTACCTTCACATCTTTGATTGATGGCCTTTGCAAAATTGGGCAAATGGATCATGCATTTAGGATTTTCCAGGAAATGGAAAGTAGTAATTGCTTGCCAAATGTTTATACATATAGTTCCCTGATTTTTGGTTTATGTCAAGAGGAGAAGGCAGATGATGCAGAGAGGTTACTTGATGAAATGGAGAGGAAAGGAGTGTCTCCAGATGAGGTTACATTTACTTCACTCATCAATGGTTTTGTTATCCTTGGTAGGATAGATCATGCATTTATGCTTCTTCGTCGGATGATTGAAGTTGGTTGCAAACCTAACTACCGAACTTACAGTGTCTTGTTAAAAGGGTTAAAAAAGGAGTGCACATTGTCCACAGGAAAGGCTGTTGCTCAAAGTGGTATGGAGTATGGTGACAGCTTAGATGAGAGAGTTACCAATGTTGAGGGAATGTGTAACATCCTCTTATCTAGATTGTCAGAGAGTGGTTGTGAACCTACTGTTGATACTTACAGTACTTTAGTAAGTGGATTGTGTAGGAAAGGTCACTCTTTTGAGGCAGCTCAGTTGGTGGAAAATATGAAAGAGAAAGGACTTTGTCCTAATAAAGACATCCTTTACTCTCTGCTATTTGCACACTGTAGGAATTTAGAAGTCGACTCTGCTTTGGAGATTTTTAACCTGATGAAAATTAAAGGCTGTGAACTTCTATTATCAATCTATACTGCACTTATTTGTGCCCTCTGCAAGACAGGTAGGTTGGAAGAGGCTGTGAAAATGTTTGAGTGCATGCTTGGGAAACAATGGAATTCTGATGAGATTGTTTGGACATTGTTGATTGATGGGTTACTGAAGGAAGGAGAGTCAGATTTATGCATGAAGCTTCTTCACATTATGGAATCCAGAAATTCTGCTCCCACTGTTCAGACATACTTCATTGTGGCCAAAGAAGTAACCAAAGCCAAGCTAGTGGAAGTAGATCAGATCAATAGCAAGTAAGCTATGAAGAATCAAATTGGGTTTTTCTTCTTCTTAATCACCAAAAGATGAAATGCCTTGCTTTTCTACAAAGCCCAGTCAGTTTATCTGTTATTGGCAATAAACTGTCTGAGTTGAACAATCTCCTGCTGACTTGTAAATAAATTTTTTGAGCTGTTGTTGCTTTGGAGCTCCTTTCCTTTGATACAAGGTAATAATCTCTCCTATCACTAGTTTTTATTCCTTTCTGTTCTCTTGCTACCATATCCTCTTTTTTTTAAGTTTATGATCAAAATGCACTAATTTTATGACTAAGAAAACCCTTTCTAATTACCTGGATGATTCTGATACTTTTGTTCAGATATTCTACATGAAAAAGAATCTCAGAGTTGAAAGAGGGGACTACATGAAAATGACAGCAAGGAGAATTTTGTAGCCTTAGTGAACAAAATTAGATCATTTTCAGGTAAACAACAAAAGATTTCATCTTGGAATCCTTTGGTGAAAATGGGTTTAAAGTAGCCTATAAGGAAACAGTATGGTATAAAATAAGTTCCATCCATCTTTTCCATCTTTCTCTCTAAACATTTATATGTGCTTATATCCTTGTTTACTAGCTGGCACCAAGGATGACCTGAATAATTAGTTACTGTTGAAATATCATTTTTTTTTTTTTTTTGGTTCAATGTTTGGTGTAAAGCTTAATGTCCATTAGTCTTGTGAGATTACTCGTGATCTTTTTAAAAGTTATAGCCAATTTTCAATCTTTAAGTCTGGTTTAAGAAGCTTTAAATGCTGATAAATGTAGGAAAATTCATGATTCCTATCAAATTTGAAAAATGATAAATAAACCATATGGATGGTCCTTCTAGAGTCAATAGGTTAAATTGGAAATTTCTAGAAGTTCTTTCTTGTAGTTGGTAAAAATATTCTTTCATTAAAGAAGTGTATGCTAACCCTTGAATAACTGGAGGTTACCCACTTATCCCTTTTTCTTTTAGAGTTCAAAAATTGAAAATGATGTTTACCACAACTGAACTGGCAACAGAAAGAGTAACTTACACTACAATTCTTCTCCATACATATCACCACCAGTACTTGCGTCCATAACCACTTTGTCACAACAATTGGCATTGCCTACATCATGCTGCCACATTCGCTGTTATAATGTTTACTACCCCTACCATCCCAATCATGCTCTAATTGCCCCTGCTATGTCTTCATTAGTAGTACTATTTTGCAGGTTTCCTCCATACAATGTTAGTTTTGTAACCAGCACCACTTCTGCCACTGCTGCCCTGCTCACTAATGGGCATTTTTCTAGTTTCTTGCTCTTACTAACAACCTGTCCTGGTTACATTGTTGCTCTGTAACTTTCAATAACTCACTTTTCATTGTTGCATTGCCACACCCACAGTGCATGCTGACATTATGAAGCATCCTCACCACAGTAGTCGGTGGCATCAGTTCCTGCATTTAGCAGGGCAAGAGTCTAGTTAACTGTCCTGGCATTTTATTAATTACTGGTTTATGGTTGGTCAATAAACTGTTTTAATTTCTATTTTATGGTTGGTGAGTGGCATGGACATTACTAAAAAGGGGAAGTATTATATAGATGACTTCATCATTGTGTAGAATATCTCCTTAAAATTGCTTTGCTGGTCATTCCTTTATTTTCTGAATCATTTCTTTTTATTGTTATGGTAATTGTTGATCAACAGGAAATGAGTTAACATGCTTAGCTTAATGAAATTTTGCAGGATTTAGTGGTGTGGTTGGCTTTTTGGAAATGTAAAGCTCTTGGGCCCTGACAGTTCCTAACATAATTGGCAGCTATGAGAAGGTACACGTCATAATAAACCAATAGTTGATCATTTTTTTCTGTCGTATATTACCTCCTTTTTTTTCCCCTCCTTTATCAGGTCTATCTCTGTATACCTAAGCAAATGTGCATTTGATTTATTTTTCAATGTCATAATATACCCAACAAGGGAATGAAATTTTCATTGTAGAGCTCTTAATGTGATACATGGTTCTATGCGTCCATGATTGGCATGAATTGTTTTCAATAAAAGCTTGTAGTCTGGTTTTCCGTTAGAGAATCCCATTTGGGAGAGAATAGCATGAATGCAATCAACTCTTGGAAGAATAGTAAACTCAAGCTCTAAAAGAATCTTTGAAAGAAAATGCTAGAATTCACATGTTGGGGTTTACTGCAAAATTCCCATTTGTGAGAAGCTGCATAAGCAGAACTTCTGCACCTTGTTATTATTGGAACAATGTTTCAAATAATTGTCTTGTAGAAGAAGCTGCGAAATGGTTCAACGTCCAAGATTACTTTCTTTTTCTCCTTGCTTTTATTATGGAATTGGAGCTGAGTTGAAGTTCGAAGTAACACCATCAATGTTCATGCAAAAATAAACACCTTGACTTCAATTGGTTTGGATGCTTTATCTGGATTTTATTTTTTCAGCTTGAATTAGATATTTTACCTTTGTAGCTGTAAATTTATCCTCTTCTTTGCTGTGGAATGAAATACATTCAATTCAAATTTGTAGATTCAAGTAGTATAAAACTGACGGACATTGTCCCTGAACCTAGTGCAGTTTGGTCTTTGTCTGTACCAACATGATAATGGCTAAAATATTACTCACTAACTTTGAAGTTGTTGGCTTTGTAACGCTGGCATGTATCACATTCCAAAAATTGTGAAGTCATGGTGCTTGGTAATTGAAAGAAATGGTCTCGTTACCAGGTCCGGCATATAATTATCAAACGAGTTTATTATCACTATTGGTTGGCAGCTTCCTAAAGGAAACAATGATCAAAGATTTTTCCTTCATTTGGTTTGATTTTTTCTATTCCAGATCCCATCCTAGTCCTAAACCCCTAAAAGAATAGAATCATATTAAGGTTGAAAACAGAGAAAAGAGCGAAATAGGATCCTTCCAAATTGTGCAAGGAAATGCATCATCTTCTCAGAAGCTGACTTTGTTTTTCACAAGGCAAGCCGACTGTTCATTACCTAACTCATTTATTCCCCTCAAAGCACCCTTCCAAATGCTACTAGCCATCTCCCTTTGGATTCTATTTCTTGCACTTATGCCCCTTCAAAAAGTCCTTTTGTCTTCACATGCACCAACCTAACCCTCTCTTTGATCCCCTTCTCCTTGTCTCTTGATGCACTAACTGATGCTATTTTCCATTCAATACCAGAATCAATGGGGAAAAACATTGGAAAAATCATAAACTAATGTTGAGAAAGAAGCACAAACTACCTATAAATACATCCCTATGCTCCTTTAGAAACCAAGCTCCGATCCTTTCCATGATGGGTAGGCAAGTTGGTGATCCCACCGTGGTTAGTTCATCTATTGCTCTTTTGCAGGAAAGGTTCAAACAGCTGCAGAAGGTGAGGGAAAAGAGGCAAGGGAAAGACCTTCTCAAACAGTTCTCTGAATCCGAATGTGTTGCCCCCACCACGCCCCGTGAGCCTAATAGATGCTCTCTTCAACCTAAGGTGATCCATCATTTCAGGGCACCTTCTGATCAGGATTCACACTCTCTCAGGCTCAACTCGCAGAGTCGACATGCTGATCTCCGGGTATGGCCTAACAGTGCTGCAACTTCTGCAAATACATCAAGAAATTTTCAGAATTCTGATGTTGATACTTCTCTTCATTTGTAAAAATTAATGGAGTCAGATATTTATAACTGCTAAAATTTACTAATCATGTAATCATTTTCTGGGTTTAATCTGGTTTTTCTTGTAAGATTTCCTTTTTCATCTTTATGAATTTCCATTTCTCGGTCAACTCCTGCGTCCCTTTTTGTTTAGGAGGACCAAAAATCTTGCAAAGAATTTTAACTATGGAGTAGATTTGCAGTGCGAAAAGAAACAATACTTAAATTCCCAACAGCGAAAAATTCATGAATCATGAATACATAAATAGATCGAGCTGATTCTTATCTAAATGAAAATTAAAAATTAAAAAAAAAAATCGAGCTGACCCTTTTCAATGTTTTCTTTCATTTGATTCTGTTATTTTTTTTGGTTTCCCGCCTGGTATCTTAGGTTTCACCCCCAATTAATCCGGACTTGATTCGCGTCGCACACTTAGAAATGGTGGATGAGTCTCCAGTGGGAGCTGCTGCGTTCACAAAGTCTTAAACTCAAAATCTTACTTAAATTAAAACAAGCCGCTTATCACTTTATCCAACTCTTATCACTTTATCCAACCCTCGTTTGGTTAGAGTCTGTTATTAAAGTAAAAGTTCGTATCATTCTTATTTTTTTCTCGAAAGCTCTCATTAGTCGGCTTATCAAGTGAAGTACTTTTTTATTTTTTTTGGTGGAAATCAAGTGAAGTACTTGATTCTCTCATTTAAAAAAAAAAAAAAGTACTTTTGATTTGAAGTGAATCAGAACTTTAGGAGTAAAAATGATGAACCAAAACCTAAGACCATTATAAATGTTCCCAATGGTAGAGTAGGTGGTTTGTTTCTTATAAATATTTTATTTAAAAATGTAAAATTATTATATTTGTTTATTAATATTAATTAATTTTTACATTTTTTATTAATTTTAATTTATATTTTATATATTTTTTAGATAATAAAAATGTTTGTATAGAATTATAATTATAGGTTTTACTCTAAAATACATAAAATATTAATTAAAATAAATAAAATTATATAAAAATTAATTAAAATTAATAGATTTATATTTTTAGATAAAATGTTGTGTAAAAAAGATATGTGAAAAATATGGTTAAACAAAGCATTAATGGTTGAATGTATTAAGCACTTAGAATCGAAGCCTGCATTCACCAGAAGGAAGGATAAAGAGAGAATCAAGGGAAAATGTTATATGCTTGGCTTATGGAAAGGAACAAGAATGATAGGTACTTTGTAGAGAGCATATTTTGTTTGTCAAAGGAATAGTTGGCAATGCAATGTCGAGCTTGTTTGTAGTATAGTGCATTAGGTGAGGTAGGTCGCCAGTCAATGTTGTTTTGCTGGTTGTAGAGTTGCATGACGCGGCGCTGCTTGCCTGACTCTCTGATGGTTGTGGACATATATTTTGTCATTTCTTTTCAGCGCTTTCTACCATTGAATTAGATATTTTTTTTGGGACGGAATTTAGGAAGATTTCATTCCCACTCTTCTAGAACCACAAACATTTAGTAAGTGCCTTACAATGTTTCCTGAAAGTTGAACTTCCACCAAAAAGCAAAAAATAAAAATAAAAATAATATTAATTTCAATCCATCTTGATTTGAATTTTAAAAAGGGTTTGAGGTTACATTGTTACTGTTTAAATCAAAAATGAAAACATATATATTTTGAGTGTGTTTGGCAGAGATGCCATTTTCTCCCTTTTTTTTTTTTTTTTGGGGGGGGGGGGGTGTATATCGTTTTGTTGCTTATAAGCATATTTTTCTTCTAAAGTTCAAAATTTTGTTTGGAAGTGCCATCATTAGTTTTTTTAAAACTTACATGGAACTATAATTTTTTTTTTAATAAGAAACACTTCAAATGCTAAAAGCAACATTCTCCATCTTTTATATGTAACAAGTTTTTAAACTTTAAAGAGAAAAAAGTGCTCATATATTTTATGTTTTTTGTGCTTCAAATCAAAATAAAACGACTAGTTGTTCTCCACATAACGAATGAAGTGATGACACTACATATAAGTAGGAACATCGCCAGGACATATGGTATTTGATTTGCAATCCCCCCTTCCCTATCCTCTTATTAAAAGTAAGTAATAGTTATAATGGGTAATTACCTTTGTCCAAAATAATAATAATAATAATAATAATAAACATAGTCTAAAAGTAACTATGCCAAAAGAAGCCTTATGCCAAATTAAGGGGGTTGATTACTTGTTTGTAATTTATGGAGTTAAGTTTTTTCTATTTAACTTCTAAAATTAATAATTTTTACCAATTTTACAATTCTTTATTATTATCTTAAATAAATTCATATAAGACTCACGATTTAATAGTTGTATAAAAAAATATAAAAGTCACATTAAAATGAAATATGGTAAAATATATTGAGGGAGAATTGATATTTAAATATTGGAGTAAAGAAGAATTTGCTTCAACTTTCATATAAAATATAGAACACACACGTTCGATGCTTTCTTTTGGGCAAACATCAAAAGAAAATTTCCTTCCCATGAAATCAAAAAGGAAAACCATATCAAACAAAACCCTATAATTGAAGTTAACTATAGAAGAGTTTTAGTGTTTATTTGCATTAACTATTTAAAAATATGAGAAAATTATTTTAAAATTATATTATTTTAATAAAATATTATTAAAAAAATCAAAATACGCTAATTTATACATTAAAAATAGAGTATTTTATACTTTAAAAAAGAGTATTTTAGTTTTCAATGAGAGTTTATTGAAATGATATAATTTTATAGTAATTTTACTTCTAATATTTAAGAAATAAGGCAAATTGACACATTTCCTACTATAAAAATATATTAAGTTTTGGGAAATGAATTTTTGTTTTTATCAACCAAAGTAAATAAATAAAATTAAAGAGAGTATGAGGGGTTGTTCAACCCAATTTGCATCAAGGTGCAAGCAAATACCATTGGTAATGCAACTTAAAAAAATTCAAACCAATCTAACTTTAAATGTTAGGTTCCTTAATGAATTTTGATGATATGCTAAAACCATCATTTATTGGTATTTGATGAATTCTATTTTAAGTGTGCAGGTAAGCTAATTGAAGGGGTTTGATCTTTCCCCATGATTAGAATCAAAGTTTAACAAGCTCCCCTCCTTGATCAAAGCTTTGGATTCAAATCAATATATATTCAATCACATAGAATAGAATTCATAGTTTTTACGAAAGTGGTTCTATTCTAGATCTGTAAAAAAAAATGAAAAAACAAAAAGGAATTCTTGACTAGTGGTAGTAATTTTCTAAGCTTTGCTAGAAGCATTGTGAGCTTGGTTGGTTCCCTTTCTTGAGAGATTTCTTTGGGGGTTTTCTTTTTTCACACAAAGGGTTTTATTTTCTCCTTGAATCAATATGTGATTCTTGATTCTTGGAGGGGGGAGTGACGTTGAGAGATATTTCACTCACCCCTTCAAGAAACAAATTCTAATGTTGAATCCCTTTGAGGGTTAGTTTAAGTGATAAGTACCAAGGAAAAGCTTGATTAAGAGCATGGTTTGAATCCCTCCTCTACCATTTAGGTGTAAATAGGCATGCCCCCCTCTTGGGTGAAAATCTAAACAATTTAAATGGGTCATAATAGCCATTCATGGGTGGAGATTTGCCCTTTGTTTATGAACAAGTAGTTTGTAGTTACAAATAGGTAGAAATGATATTATTTAAAAGGTTTAAGTACCATTTTGGTCCCTCAACTTTTCACTTTAGCACCAAAATTATCCTTCACCTTTAAAAAGTATCAAAATTATCCTTAAACTTTCATTTTTTTTTTGTACCAAAATGGTCCTTCGTCAATTAAATGACAGGTGTCACGTTAAAATGCCACAAAATCAATTCTTTTTTTGCTTGACTAATGACATGGAAAAAAAAACACACTTGGCCATCTTTTTTTATGAGATGACATTTATATTTAATTTAAAATTTTTGATATCCTTTTTTTTCATCCACGTCATCTCTTCTTCCTCTCACTTTCTTTCTCCTTTACCTTTCCTTTTCCCTTACCTCTGTAAACCAGATCTGGGTTCTCTCTCGAACTTCATCTTCTTCCTTTCCTCCTCCCTCCTCATCCTTCTTCTTTCTTCTTCTTATTCTTTCTTTCTCTCTCTTCTCCCTTCTTCTTCTTCTCTCAAACCCAGATCTGGGTTTTTCTCAAACCCAGATCTGGCATTTCAGCAACCTCGCTCACCTCGTCCATCTTGGACGCGCTCGTGCCACTGCTACTGCTGCTGCTGTTGCTTCTCCTCTGCGACTTGTCTTAATCTCTTCGCATTTCAATATATTTCCCTTTCCCCTTCCGTCAAATCTCAGCCTTTCAATCCCTATACTCTACTACCATCATGAACCCTTTTTCAATATTGAATCTTACTTCTCTCTTCCCGACAATGCAACTCTCGATTCATTTGATTACCTTCTTCAGCAATGCTCAGCAGCCCGTCAATGCAAACAAGTTCATAATCAGATCCTCATTGGCAGTGCGTATCGGTCGGAATTCTTGGCTGCCCGAATTGTGTTGATCTGTGCTCGTTTCGGGCTTGTTTTTTATGCCCAGAAGTTGTTCGACACGAGCCCATTTGAGCATACCTCAAACATGGTTTTGTGGAATTCAATTTTAAGAGCTAATGTCTCTCATGGTTACTATGAAACTGCCCTTAAAATTTATGTCAAGATGCGTAAATAGGGTATTTTTGGTGATGCCTTCACTTTCTCTTTGGTTATAAGGGCTTGTGCGTTTCTGGGTAGTTCTTATGTGGGAAAGAATATTCATTATCATGTGTTACAAACTGGAAATCAGAACTGTGTTCATGTTGTTAATGAATTGCTGGGGATGTACACATAGCTGGGCAAAATGGATGTTGCACGCCATCTGTTTGATAAAATGTGTGAAAGAAACAAAATTTCTT